GCATAAAAAATTCTTTGGGGACTGGTTAGACAGACCTTCTTGGGGACCCCACCCCCCACCCCAAACACACACACACACACCCCACTACAGTGGTTCCACTGAATCAAAACTGAGTGCAGGCCAGGAGCTTTGAATTGGAAAGAATGTTCAGCTTATTCCCAGAGCAGAGTTCACAGAAGCACAGATTGTCACAGGCTTACAGTCGGAAGGGATAAAAGATACAATGAGAGGAAGGCCTAGGAGGAGCTTCCTAAAGGCATTTTGAGAGCTCCTATGAAAATCCAGATGTCTTGATAATCTTAATGCAGCACAGATGAACCTCAACTTCAGCATATATGGAATTATTTTAAGATCACAGAGCTAAATATTTAACTGCAAAGTCTTCGAGGGAAAAAAAAGACCGTCTGTAATCAGAAGGAAAAAAACTATATACAGTCTGATCATAAATACATTTACAAACTGATGAGTCCACACTCATATGCCCATGATCACCTAGGAAAAGACCAGAAGGGGGGGGGGGGGAGTTGGATAACAGCGGTATTTGTATGACCTTCCGTATTTTGCTCTGTTTCCCATATAGATAACTAATTTCCTACAAAGAGGCACACAGATATTCTGCAACGTGCATATTACTTTAGCCATCGGAAAATAACTCCTTTTGAAAGAGAAAAGTAAGCTCTTCTTTGCAGAGCAAAGGACGGACGATGGGAGGAAGCAGTGAGGAACTAACTGCTACTTTGGAAGTGGGAATGAAAGGCAGAGGGAAGAGCCAACAGATGGGGGATGCACAAGTGTCAGGATTTGTTGACTGTGAGTCTCAGGGTGGGTGAGGAAGACAGTTGTGTCGCGTGCTTCTCAGGTCTGGCGATCTGGAGGCAGAGTGAGAGGTGTGCTGTTCCTTAAGGATGAGTACAGGAGAGCGGGCCCCCAAGATGGGCCCTCCCTCATGCCTGATACACCCTTGGGTAACCCCTCTTACCCTGTCTACAGCTGACCTGTGTAACCGATGTAATGTAGCACAAATGACTGGCTGTGCCTTCTGAAGCTAACTGACACAGGATCTTGCAGGGCTGGGGACATAGCTCAGCAGTAGAGTCCTTGCCTTGCATACATGAGGCCCTGAGTTCAATCCTTAGCATCACCAAATAAATTAGTAAAATCACAGGGCCCTGTGTTTCTTCTCTCTTGGATCGCACACCTAGGGAAAGCCAACCACCAGTCATGAGGACACTCAAGCAGCTCTGTGGAAACATCCATATAGAGAGAAACTGAGTCCTCCCACCAGCAATACCTGGCCAGGTATGTGCATAAGCCCCAGGCAAGCAGAGCCTCCAGGCCCAGGCAAGCCTTTGGCTGAAGACCAAAGCCATATAAAAAAATGTTAATTATTCCAAGCCACCACGTTTTAAGGGTATTTGCTGTAAAGGAATAGACAACCAATTTCCTACAAAGCGGCACACATTTGAGTTGCCTCATGGCCTTTTACGGCTCAAACCATCCAGTTTTTTAGCTTAGGATACAGAGGCTGGAAAAAGCCTTGTTCATATCATTATAACAAAAATACTACAGAATATAGCAAAATCACGTTGTTTTCTTGGACCCATCAGAGAAGAGAGATTATAGCTGTATCTCTATTAAGGTACAATGGGGACTTCAGAGGCCCCACTGATGGGAGGGAGAGGGGTTCAGTCTTTCCCACTCCCCTGCTGCCTGGTTGGCATGGCCTCAGCAGGCCAGCATGGTGTCTGCTTCTTGCAGTCACCATCCCTGTGACCCCCTACTGTTCCTTTTGGCTCTTTCAGTCCCCCAATAACACCTGCTTAGCCAACCCCTCAATTCAATGTTCATTGTTCAAATAACCACACGGTTTCTATTTTCCTAACTAGACTTTAATTGATACAGCACAAATTTAATACAACTTGCCCATTGTTGTTCCGGGTTCTTCTTTAGCAGCACACAGCCTATCCATATATGCCTCATGAACCTTTATCTGGTGACCCTTATTACCTTTTCCAATTCACCTGCTACAATCTTCATCTGCACCTGGTCTGCCTCATAGAACTACTTGTGCTGTCCCTGCCTGGCAGTTTTTTGCAACTCTCTGTGCTTCTTGAACCCCATATGCCACTGAACTAGGACAAAAAGAACACAAGACACCTCAGCATTTGGGGAAGCACTGTAGAGAATAACTTTGTGGTTTTTTTCTGTTGGTTGTTGTTTTATACATTAGCAGAAATAACATCAGCAAAAAAAAAGAATAATTTGTGCTTAAATTGATATTCTTTAATTTCTTCTATTACTAGTAGTAGTACTAGTAGTAGTACTAAGTAGTAGTATTGCAGTAGTGGGAAATGAATGTGGGACCTTCACTCTAGCTACATCCCCAAACTTTTTTATTTTTATTTTATTTTGAGACAGGTTCTTGCTAAGTTGCTAAATTGCCCCAGCTGGGCTTGAACTTGCAATCCTCCTGCCTCAGTCTCCCAGAGTGTTGGGATTATAGCCATGCACCACCATGCCTGGCTTCTTTCCTAACTGATGTTTCCTTCCTTGTAGGAAGTTGCTAGGCAAGAAAGGGAACCCTGGAATGTTAGTTTTATCTCTTCCACCTCCCCTTTTTATCTCAGCAAGTCACCACAGGCTCCTACATCTCCCATTCAATCAGAAGAGGAAAAGGTGCTGAAATGATAAGATAACGTGTGTATACACATGCACGCACAAACTCACCCACATCCAAACACACGCACACACACACCATGCGGGCATATCCACACAGGCACACATTCATGCACATGTGCATACACATGTCTTGGCCTAAAATGAATTCACTTATCTGATATAATGATGTTTAAACTTCCAAAAATATCTAAAACGCTTTCAAGATGTCATGATTTTGAGAAACGACAAATTTCACTTTCTACAGCCTTGTTTCTGAACAAGGAATGGGGGAAAGGAGGAGGGAGAGTGGAACAGGGAGGGAAGAGGAGGTGACAAAGAGAGAGAGAGACAGAGAGAATATGAGACTATATCTACCAATTGATAAAGGCTCTAGATCTCCAACAAATAACATAGTTTGAAGAAATGAAACAAAGCAAATAGAGACAGCTCCTACGCTGTATGGCTTTGCCTCAATTATACATTCTAAATGTTAGTGCGGGGGGGGGTGATTTTTAAGGCAGAAATTGGTACTCGGGGGGCTGACACATCTTAGCTGAGTGGTTTGTGGCTGTCCAGAAGGTCTCAGTACATTAATGCGTACACATGAACTGGAAAATCAAAATGTGGAGCACAGCATCAGGAAAATGTATTTAACGAAGCCACTTGGAGTTGGGGGAGGGTTGAAATACTGGCCTTGATGAAATCAGACACTTGCTTCCTTCTGTTGCCCAAGTATTTTATTTTCCTTCAGATTTCCAATGAACTCTGCAGGAGCATCATTTTTTTATTGAGTAAGAAGAGCCAGGAATATAATCTAGGGGAGTATTTAGTACTGACTGAACATGTACCTCAGATACCAGTGTCATTTATAAAAGCTGAGTATCAACACTTGAATGGCTTTTCTTATTGTCAACAAATCTGGAGGTGGTTTATTTCTCTATCTCAAACTCACTTTTTCTAGAAAAAGTGTTAAGTTACCCTATACTCTCTAGGTTGGTCTAAATCCCCACCATCACAGTCACAGAGGAGTTGATTATGATGACATTTGTGTACTTTTTTTTTTGGTACCAGGGATCAAACTTGGGTCCTTGCACTTGTGGGGCAGGCAGTGGAACCACTGAGCTAAATCCCTGGCCCATTTGTGTACATTTTTATCTGGCTCTTGATCATGCTGGGGCATGCTCACTTGTGTGATCAAAGGACTACTCATCCTCTCCACAGTTTTGTCTTAGCTACTGTTTACAGGGTCACATCATACTTTGCAAGTACTTCATTAAAGGACCTTCAACATATCCAGACCAAAGGCACACTTCCACTCATATTCAACATGTGCTCACCATGGAATCATCTGCATCTACTCTTTTCTACTGCTATTCATTCAATCATTTTGATCAAGGATCAAGAACAAAGTAATGGGCTTGGTGCTATGGGGCAAATGAGATTTTAAAAGCATTATCTGCTTATGGAAAGGAATAGAAATGCATGGATAATTCTGGGATAAAAAGGAATTTTGCAATAATTATGGAAGAAATGCACAACCCAAAAGCTGTTGGTGTTCCCAAGGGAAGTATCATTCCTTGAAGCAGGAAGTCAGGAAACTTCACAGAGCAGGAGGAGGAGGCCACCTCAAAGGTAGAAATGAGAGTAGAGAGGGAAAAGACAAAAGTAAAGGTGATCAATGGCATGAGCAAAGCTCAAGCAAATAAAACAGATATACTATATACTATTAAAAAGAATTTACAGAGTCCGTTGCTCCTAAGAGCAAGACCAAAACAAAATGGAGTTGCTCATGTTAAACACTACATAATAAAACTGAAACTCTAAGAAAGCAGATAGAGGGCTGGGGATTTAGCTCAGTGGTTCCACCACCTGCCTCGCAAGCACAAGGACCCAAGTTCAATCCCCAGTACCAAAAAAATAAAAATTAAAAAAAAAATAAAAAAGCAAATAGATCCCCAATCAGACCAGTTTTCCCCCAAAACAGGAGATTCCAGTCTACCCAAGTCCACATACTAAGGACATTCCATTTGCTTTAATCCTTACAAAAAAGTAACCTGAAATAACCTGTTGGCCAATCAGCTTTTCTTCTATTGTTCTGTTCCCTGTTCTCATCTTACAAATCCTACTGTTCTTTTATCGCCACCTGTGAGCTCCCACTGTTTTGTAAAATGAAGCCCCCTTACTCATGAGCTGTGAAAAAGCCACTAGATCCATAAGAAAATGTTATAATTTTGTCTTTTGGCATTTCAAAGCCCATAAAGTTTTTTCATAATTGTCTTAGCACCAAATATTTTAAAGCTAGGTATGCAGTATACTTGAATGAAAATTCTAAGAGCATTTACCTTCAGTAGGAAATTTCTTGGCTCGTTCCTCAAAGAACCATTCTCCAGTTTTTATTTTCACATTTCTGAAAAGTAAGCAGAAAGGATGCCTCAGAGAGTCGATATGAATTTTGGGCCTATAAGAGATAGAGAAATTATACCACAAAATATTAGTCTTACAAGGAACCAAACATGTCACTTTATAGATTTCCTTTAGAGGTTAAATGATTTGAATATCTAGCAACAAAGCTGACTGTCCTACTCTATTTTACCTCACATGTGACATGCACATGTGAGATACACATGCTTGTGCCTAACGCATATCAAGTATTTAGTATTTTCTGAATACACAAAGTGAAACAAAACTGCCATCAAAGTTATTCATTTACCATGTTAATGGTGGAAAGCAAGGGCATGAAGGATAGGCTCCAGAAAAATTTAACACTCTGAATTTGGCCGAGAAGAGAAAGATCATCTTCAAGATAATGTTCATTTACGTTTACCAGGAAATTTGCCAAAAACCCACCCTCATAGATGACCTCCTCCTGGAATATGGGACCAATGTGCTTCAGTAGAAGTCTTGGAACCTGGGTCCAAGTGAAAATTGAGGCTGAAGGGAGGCCTGGTCAGGCCAGGTTCCCAAAGAAAAGAATACACATGGAGCAGACATTACAAAGCAAGAACCAACCTTAATTTTACAGCATACAGATTATAGTGGCCATTATCAGTTTTTCTGAGACACAGTAAGACAAAACAGCCATGTGCCCTTGCATAGCCATGTGATACATTCATTGTCATCCATGCTGATTCATTATTATTATAACAAAACCCTATTGTGCACCTGTGCTAAACGACAGGATTGTGTCCTCAGATGCCCTCTGATGCCCTCCAACTCCTGGGCTTTGACACATCTCACAGTGGCCTCCTACATGTACTCATCAGAGAATAATAGTTTCTAACCAGATGGAGAGAAGAAAGTGGTTGACGTCTCTGACAATTACTATTACTCTATAGAGAAGGATAGGTTGTTTTTAAAGGTGGATTGACATGTTTGTGATTTTATTTACATTAACAACATTCTCAAGCATTAATGTTCAGTTCACTTGAGTTCATATAGAGCCTAAAAGAACTTAATGGAGAACTTATTTCAGTAAACAGCTTCTAGAAGAGAATTTGCCACAAGTTGAAGTTTAATTTTTTCTTAAACTTGCATAGCCAAGGAATTGACACATTTTATGGCACATTCATTTTTATTCTTTTATGGCACTGGGGATCAAACCTAAGGCCTGGTGCATGCTAAGCACACACTGTAGCACAGAGCCACATTCACAGCCCATGTGGCATATTATTTAAAGGATGTAAACAATTTATAATATCTCTATTTTACCTTTTTCCATCCTAAAAGGATATTAACAATTCTGTCATTTTTGAGGTTCTTTGAGTGAAATGAGGTGTCTCCAGAAATTTGGAAACTGTCAGAATAAAACATGGTTTGGGACTTCAGTTTCAAGAAGTTAGCATGTGAAGTTGTCTGTTGTGCATGGGACATGCAAGAAGGTGCCATCCTTGGGAGCTGACTGAGGTCTTTCCTCAGATCTCTATTTACCTTATTTCATTACCCTTGAAGACCGTGGATACCAAGTTCAGCTACTCCTGGAATTTCCAGTGCCCTAAATCTAAGGTCACCTTGGATTCCAGCAGAGCCTCAGGTGACTGAAATTGCCCCTTAAATCAGGATTCATCTTATGGGAACTGAATCGACCCTCAAGTCATAAGGAGTCTTCGGTGGGAACAGAACTGCCCCTCATATCACAAGGATTCAACCTGAGCCAGGAATCTGAACTGAGATAATGATTGACCAGACCCTGGCCACCTCAGCTAATCCTTAAGACTGAACAGACTGAGGGGGCAGTGCATCCCTCCAGCTACTCAAGCTGGAGTCCTTCTATTTTCTCTTACCTTCTATGTTAAGGACCAGCTTGATGCTTGTCAGCTCCCCAGTTAAAGTCATTTATCCTCTTCTCTTGCTTTCCAATTAAAGCTTTTTTCCTGCAAATCCATGCTTTAATTCTAATTTCCATCATTAGTAAAAGCAAAGACCCATGCTAGCCAGTATACCTCTCACTGTCCAGCTCATCACCCATGTGACCCAAATCCCTCATATCTGAGACCCTTCTGTATTCAATTGAGCCCCAGATACAGGCCCACACTGATAAGCAAACACACACACAGATACACAAGTGTAAAAGATGACAGTTTAGGAAAAGGAGGGTTAGAAGAGGCACACCCAAGCAGCCAACACTGCAAACTCCTGTAATTGAACGAATGCTCTGGCCCTGATTTCAGAAGCAAATTAACAAAAATCCCAGTCACCTAGTGCCAATTATCTAATGTAATCAACTGATCATTTCATTTCAACTGAGTCCTTGTGAAGTTTAAGCAGGGACTAATTTGGCACATAGGGATTTGGGTACAAACATAAGGGTCTGTTGGGCTTATCTGTGATTGGAGAATGGGAGGATGAAAATACCAGCATCCTAAAACCATAAGAAGACCACTGCTTTTTGCACTAGAGGCCGTTTTCTTTGAATGCCAGATTTGAGCTAGGCCTCCATCACCTCGGTGTGTACAATCAGCTGTTACATAAGCAGTTACCCCAAGACACCTTTCATAAGGACTCCCTGACTACATCAAGTCTCAAGCTTTAAAGGAGGACTGTTTGCCTTACTGTCTCCAACAGAGGCAAACAGATCCTGCAGTGTCTGTGCTCCGTAGAGCCAACACAGGATAGCATGACTCACAGTAACCAAAGGAAGCATTCAGCACTTCTTCCTAGACGATTAGATCGTAATCAGAGTATGAAAGCTTCTTGGAACATTCGATAAGCTCGGCAGTAGGCTAAAGCTTTTAAGTTTCTCAAACCCCCATGACTTGCTTCTCTAAAACTTTTTCAGTCAACTTATAAATGTACCTCAAAAAGCAAAAGTGTGAGGTGGTTGTGAGAGCAGGAGATGAGGAATCAGGAGACCTGCCCTGGCCCTGACCTTCTCGCTAAGGCAGCCCCCTGCAGGAGGATCGCTGAAATCACAAATCCATCTAAGCACCTGGTGCATAGACGGCCCCAAGAAGCTCCCAAAAGCTTCAGCATCAATGTTCATGGTCTTGAATCCTGCTAATGCTGTTATTGCATTAGCAAAAGAGAAAGGATTATTGAAAAGCACTTTGCAAATGCTCACATAAAAATATTCAATAAGTAGGGCTGGGGATTTAGCTCAGTGGTTCCACTGCCTGCCTCACAAGCACAAGGACCCAGTACTGAAAAAAATAATAAATAAATAAATAAATAAGGTAAATGAAGAACCCTAACAATAATATTTTGGCCTCATTATTCTGAGCCAAACAGGATGTTGGAACGCATTTTTATTTTCCATCCAATTTATTTGCATCTGCAGGTGGTTAAGATATTGCATCTATGCTTTATGCTCCAAGAAAAGAGAATATAACACCCCTAGGGATGCTTAAGGTATTTTCACCATTCAGCTGACAAGTGCTGAGAAATTGGTCCACTTAGTCAGCAATCGTTGAAAGCCTGAAAAAGTGCACCTGGGCAGATCTGCTTTTTGACCAGTGTCTTGATGGCAAGGAACCCTCAAGAGTCTTCAAGAGGGCCCTGGTGGCTCATCAGACACACAAGCTGTAAAAACTCCAAATAAAGAAGCTGAATATTGTAAAACTGAGAGCAACCCAGCTTCTTTGTGTTAGTTTGTCCAACTGCTTGGTAATTCCCAGCTAAAATAGTGTTGGGCAGGCATACAGATGAAAACTGCTGAACTTCAAAGAGCCATGCATCTAGGAAGGTTTGTAGTTACAAAGTCAAGTGGTGGGTTTTTTCCACAAGCTCAGCTGATGTGATTGCAACATTTTTACAGGGAAAAAAAAAAAAAAGACTGATCATTGTGATTAAATCTTAGGTAACTATGAGAGGAGTCAGAGAATCAAGATGAAGATAAAGAAATGACTTTATCAAGTTGCTACCAATGCATTTTGCAGAACATTAATAACTGTCCCTTTCTTAACCTTAGCAAGAAGGCAGGCACCCTCTGCATCACATTCAGTGTCACAGTCACAGGTCAAGGGCTGGTGATAAACACACAGGAGCCGATGCACAAATGAACACTCCCACCTCTGCAAGAGGTGCCTGAAGATGAAGGGGTAGGGTGGAAACAAAATAGGTAGAGCCCACAGCTGTGTGCATTGAAACTGAATGTGTCCCACACCCTTGAAACATGCAGGGCAGGGGCCCCGCACTCAGACACTGGGCAGGAGCTAAATAGGAGGCAGGGTTGGGTGTACAATGGCAGGAAGGGCTGGAAATGCTAGTGAATCCACCAAATATTTACAAATATTAAAATGATAAATGTGAAACACTGTGCAAGCTAAAAACAAGGCCCTGGGCTGCCTGTGACTGGTCAGTCACAAGATTGAGATGTTGACTCCTGGTCTGTTGTATCTAACTACTCAGTGAAGCAAGAGAAATTCTACTTTGGCCTACAGAGCTGTCCCCGTCGAAAGCCTCAACTGTAAACACTGGGCCAGATGCCATGCATCCACCTATCCTCCCCCAGCAATCAAAGAAGAGGGATCGACTCTACCCCAGGGGCCCTGAGAAGGGCAGAGACAAGAAGCACTTGCTCTCACTTGGCTGAGCCTCCTCCTGGAGATCTGAGGAGACACCACAAGCATCAGACAAGAGGCCACAGGCAGGATAAATGGAGCTAAGCCAGCCAGACCAGGGAAATGGCTGCTGAGTGGGCACCACTGTGGGAGCCAGGAAAACTTTCTGGAAGCAGTCAGTCTTCAAGAACATGGCAGAGCCAACTCTGTGAAGAACCAGAAAGATATGAGGAAATTCCAGGCCAGAGTGAAGAGACCTGGGACAAAATACAGAAGATTTAGGAACCTAAGGATGCCAGAGCAGAGTGAGTTGCATTAACACCAATAAAGGGCAGAGCTGGCTCTGGGAAGTTCAGAGAGAGACCAAGGACATGAAAGAAAAAGGCATGAAATGCTGAGGAAGAACCTGACACAGATGCAGGGTGAGGCCACCCTACTCATTAGAAGAAGTCAGGTTAAGTAG